TTTTTCTTTTTGTTGCCGTTTCTTTAGTCTGTAGGCAGCCGCAGCTATAGCTACTGTACCAGATATAGCAGAACGTAGAACGGGCATCCCAGTTGCCGGTCTATTGGAGAGCATGGGTATAAACATTGGTCCATGCAAAAAGCTGTGGTTTCGTCCGTCGTACTTTGCAAGGAGTCATTTTGTCGGTCCATCGCTATAGACAAACGCGGCTAAAGAGTGCAAGCCTTACCAGGCAAGCCAGGTCAAACCAGGCCAGCTTAACCCGCACCGCGACATTATCGCGCTACTGATCCACTGGGGAACAAAATGCTCGCTGGGGTCACCCATAGTTCTACTACTAACTAAAGATAACACATACCCATATACACTCACAAATATAAAGGACAGAGCCGCGCACGCACATCTCACAGGCCCCATATATGACCCTGTCACATCTGCCTTACCGATTCCAACAGACACAGCGGGACACTAGAACGGCAGCGGGTACGGAATCGTTGGGAAGGGGCATAAAGGGATATATAAGTGTGGCCTGCCTGTCACCGGGGCTTGGCTGGCTGGGTCCTACCGGATGAGTAAGAACGGGAAAGGGCTGCCGACTGCTTTCCTAACTGCTATCGAGCCTAGCACAGCACCAGAGCACTGCTGCTTGCCAGCTCGGATCATCGGCAGATCTAGGTCTCTAGACTCAGACTGCTCTGTCGGGAGGAGAGTATACATCTGATGATGTGAACTTTGCCGGAGACACAGGAACCGCGGGAAGGGGGAGTCGAAAATGGTGGGGGCGGGGAGAAGCCCTGCGGGGGTGACGAGAATAGCGGGAGCTAAGTGGGACGGCTTGCCGGCCGCAGAGGGAGCTTGCTAGCTCTGCTGGTATGGGTCCATGGAGATATGAGGCCTGCACTGGCCTGGTCTGCCTGAGTTGGTGGCGGCAGCAGCGCTAGATTGGGCCAGCGTCGCGGGAAGTAAACAGCCGTGGCCGGCACCATGCTGTCGGGAGCTCGCTAGTAGGAAGGCTCTTGGTCTTGGCCAGACCCGGATCCATTGGATAGAGTATGGGTTGGAGGCGGGGCCCATTTAGCCACAATGGAACCAGCGTTCCGACGGCCGCTCACACCACCACGATCACCCGTTCCACCATACACTAGGACTACTATTACTGGCTTTATCTCTATCCCAGGCCAGTCATCAGAGCAGTTCCTTGTCTATTCTCTGTGTCTTTGCCTTATGTCTTGGCAGAGTTGCAGTTCAGGCAGTAGTTTACACAGCGTGTTACACACACTTAAATCACTAAACGGACTAATAACTTAACTTGCTGATTATGATATTTGTAATTACAATACGCTGAACCTGTTTTATGGATGTGTTCTAACTATACATAATGTAGAGGACCAACAGAAAATTTTAGATAAAGCATTTTAAGAAACTCTCTAATCTAGCAGCAATAATCGAAATCTCAATATCCGTTTTCCACATGATTCACATTTTTTTAACGGGCTTAACTGCTTTGTAAATATAATTCTTCCTTCAGGCAAACTGTGCAACGGCCCTATGACCTTCATGGGTTCGCAAGAACGATTCTATCATTTCATTGTTCTTCAGTCTTAAAAAATTCCAAACGATCCAACTTGATGACTCCTGGTCTATGGGCTAGAACCTTTGTGCCTGCCTTGACATAGTCTTCGAGCAGCCGAAGCAGTGCAGCTAGCGACATCAATTGTTTTCCTTTTGTCTATAGATTAGATTGTACTAGGCCCGCTCCTGTATAGTGTTACCGACCGTGTATGTCGACGTCCCGTTCCTCTCAATGTGCCTTTCGTCCTTTTTTCTCTCTGTGGCATTTATCCCCTTAAGAAAAGAAAAAGCATTCAGAATTTCGGTATTTACTAGTCAACCAGTCAGCTAAGGGATGAGATGGCTTTCGGTACTATTTTCTTTGCTGCCATTGTTACCGCTAGACGGAGATAGAGGACGGGGTACAGCATAGGAAAGGATAAGAAGACGTAGATATACGTCTCTTCTTCGTCTTGTTCGGCATTTCAGAGTAGATCGACGTCTTGAACCCCTTGCAGCATCGCGTCGTGGCGATGTTTTTTCCCTTTCAACCGCTGAAGCAGTTGCTGCTTGCTACTGTCACCGCCCACGGTGCTGCTGCTTCTGGAGTGACCCCCAAATGGGAACAGTTGGGACCGGCCGCGAGTCAGTCTTTACCCACATTGAGCCCTTGCTTTACCCATATTTGCCATTTCTTTTTTATTTTTGTGTTGTTCGCCCGTGATCGGTCCTCATGCCTCGCTTACGAAAGCACCATCCCCCAAACCTCAGCAATGGAGCAACCTCTGTTCCTGAACGCCTATTGCCACTACGAAAACCTCATCCATGGCCAGAGCTCACCGACAAGCGGACGGAGCCACAATCCGCTGGCTGCTCAGACCGCTTCACTGCTGCTGCTGCTGCCACCGCCGCCAGAGCCTCCGCCGTTGTTCAAGACGTTTCGCTGGTAACCCCTTGTGTCCCCACCGGCTCCGCCTTCAGACCTCGATTTCTCTCGAAGTCAACGACGATTCCCAGGAGAGGATAGAGCAGAAAAGAGAAAAGGAAAAAGACAGGAACAGCATCATCGGACAAGCGTCTCTGCGCCTGCGTCCGCCGACGAAAACGACCGTCTAGGATCGCCCAGCAGCGGCAGCAGCAAAAAAGGCAAAACCGGCAGCTGCAGACTATGGCGCCGTCTTGCCGTGCGTAGGCAAGGCCTGTTTCCATTGCTGCTGTGCGCGAAGCCACAAAAAGGGGAACATAGCCAGCCACAGTGGCCAACAGCTACCGACAGGGGGGAGCAAGTCGTGAAAAACGCCCTGTCAACGGAACCAATGCCAACAGTGGGGGGGGGGGGGGAACACAATCACCGTAGAACGAAGTGCAGAATGAAAGAAACGTTGTAGCAACGGCAATGACAGGCAGCAGCGGTTCTAGAAGACTATAAAGTCAACGGAGTCGCAAACGTCTAAAAGTTTTAAAAGAGTAAACTGGCCCGGGGCAATGCTCTATGAGCATAACAACAATAATATTGATATCAGTATCAGTGGCTAAGTTCATCGACTCATCCTGTACGATAGACAACAATACGCGCACTTTGTTTAACTGTATAAACTGTACTAAAAGAATATCTGTATACGATCACGGACTCGCTCGTGCAATTTGGCACAAGAGTTCGTTTGTGCCGTCATAGCCGATAATCCAATGCTGTGGTAGCACATTTAAGTTGCTGCAGGGCGGCGGATAGTTGCTGGTAGTATGTATATGACCATCCCTGTTCTCGTGTGCGTATCTGTCTGATGTTCTATTGCCGTTCATGAGGAAAGGTATTGCTTTTTAAAGCTCCACTTTTAGAACGATCGGTTTTAATATAACTATATGAATGTAATGATGAACGGTAACGAATGCCCTCGCTGTTTTGCTTAGGGTTTTTGATTTGGTCCCTTTTGGACTGCGACGTAACTATCAAGGGCATCGGTTGGTTATCATAAATCAACTATATGTAACCGGTATCGCAGTACCAGCGGCTCTTTATTTGGACGAGTCACATTTTTTGAGGACAGAGGAATAGCATTTTAATGAAGCTCATAGGAAATATGACGATCCGAAAGTAAATTGAGACGCTATTTATTCTTTGTTTCACTTTTAAATATTTTCCTGCTACTTTTTGGGTTCGTTTGACATGGTTCCATGTATTTTTCTCGATTTCGCTGATCGATCTGGCTCTTGAACAAGTGATTATTTTGAGCTAAGATGTATAGAATAACTAACTGGTTTTGTTTCAAATACTAAATGAATAATTATGAAATTCGTCAAGCAGTAACTCCCGTCAGTCCGACACCGAGAGTAACGAGACTGAGTATCTGAACATGCTGTATCTCTTCTCATTAGCATATTCTGAGACGACTATTGAATATACTGCAGTTTACACTAAGACAAAACGACAGAAAATAAAAACAGCCATTTATCGCCTCCGTGACTCCCTAGCATCTCCGTACTGTAATATTTCGGGGCGTATCGTTACGTTAGCAACGGACTACTTAAAAAGCTTTAAACAGCATTACTGAACCATTGCTTAATGATCGAATCAAGTATAGCCAGAAAACGGGCTATCAACCTATCCACTGTCGACTATCAACGTAATTCTGACGTTCGTTGAGACGTGGGCTAAAATCGAATGTTCGCTGCATTATACTATTAAATAATACTATCCCATACAGTGGACAGATCTTTCAGGACGCATTATACGATCACAACGCCTACCTGTAAAATACAGCCGCCTGTACTATACTATCCAATGAAGCCTGCAATAGGACGCTGCTATCGTCTCAAAGGTGGTGACGGATAAGCTCTAAATGATCTGTTATCCACCTGTTGTTCGTGCTGAGTCACATAATATCTATCGTAGAAAGCTTGACTGTCATGTTAAATAATAGCTTGCTATAGTATCTAGTGTTGGGTAGTTCACTCTTTAGTCGGGACGGCAGCAACAACGACAGCACGTAGCAAAATTCACTGATAGCGCAGAAATTCCCAAACGAAAACCAGTGTGCCTGGGGCTTTTTTCAACTGACCCAGAGCTCCCAAAAGAAAAATCTCAGTTTCCATTGAATTGGTTGTGATTACTCGCCAATGGTGTAATACAAATCTATACATTAGTGTACCCAAAACGAAAAGTTCACATAACCGGAAAACGTCATCATAGTCGTCCTGTCGTATCTCGGCAGACGCAAAGATACGACGGCATGGATTTTTTCTCCCTAACACCGCGTTTCCGCTAGCGACGTATTAGTTCCCAAATAAGCTTGTCGCTCAAATTCTGGAGCAGTGCTGAAATACATCAGTTACTTGATAAAATAGGCTGCAATAAACATTTTATCACATAATACATTTATATCATTTAATCAGGTTCACTTTTTTCTATTGTGAGTTACAGATAAAAGTGGCAATCGTAACTTTACACTTACAGCTTTGTCAAATTGAGTCTTAGAAGAAACGTCGGAAAAGGTTCAGGTTTCATTATTAGGACAAATCCACACGTGATAAAGGCTGACTATTTTTTTTTCGTTTCCTTGAGACCCATTCCGTTGATCCGGTCTGTCGACCAGGCAGCGGTACGTTTAGCTTCTCCATCGAGTAGCGTTGACACATCTATGTGGCCTTTCGAAGAGAAATGCTGGAAATTTTCAATGCATGACTATTGTTATTTATTGTTTATGGCGCTGCTCCAATTGTCAATACAACGTCTTTCATTTATTAGACAGACAAGATACTCGAGTGCTAAGTGTAGCAAACGACCCGAGCTAAAAGGTTCTGGGCCAGCCAATTACTACTGGCGGTCAGCTACGGCCCAATATATTCCTTGCAGTGTCTCGCATATAGAAATTTCAAAAATTATATGCAGACCGCTGTGGCGTGTGATTTGTACCAGACAGCGCAGTTATCAATGCATAACAAATCGACTGAAGCTGTACACTGTTTGACCGAGTGCATTTCACCGATACATTGAAACAAAACGCAAGAAAAATAGGGGGTACAGATATTGTATCACAGATGTAGTGGTCTCTCACACTAATCTCTAGTAATAAGCAAACGTCAACTCGCATTTGCAATAAACGGCCGATTGCTTTAATTGTCCTAAAGATATACAGGCAGTCGTCAATGACAGTAGCTAGGCACGCGCGGCAAAGGTCGCGATATATCTAACGACACCAATAACGGCGACGCAACGACGACGATCATCCAACGCACCGCCACCAACAACGGCCGCATTGCCATGTTTTTATTGATGATGTTCATGATAATAATAATGGTAATGATGATTATATAGGCGATGATACTCATCACCGCAAAACTATCTCGTGACCAACTATTGACAACAAGGTAGCGCCCGCCACATCGACCACGACGACGACGACGACAGCAATGGCGGCGGCGGCGGCGAGGGTCGTTGAGAAAGAGATACCCACGGCGGACGAGCGACTTTGCAATATCAACAATAGCGGATAGTAGCCGCGGTTACGACGGCAACAGTACGGATAATTGTCTGGTTAGTGAGGAAACGCTCGGCCAGCGAGTTGGCTAGCTAACGACCGTCAGCGATCGTGTCCATTATTCTGCAACTACGTTGGTGACGATTCGATGGTTGGCAATTGCTCTTTCGCTCAGGGGCTACCAGCGAATGGCCATTTCTAAATCCTAAACTCTCTATACCACGTCCGCTGCCTGACAGAATGAGGAAGCACGCTGATTTTAAGAAGTTAGTGCTGGCCTTTATTATATAGACACGGCGGTGAATGGCAGCAGCAACGACGATAACGGAGGCAGCGATAAAACACACGAGGGAACTGAAGGAAAATAGGGAAAAAAGGCAGGCAGGCAGGCAGGCAGGCAGACAAACAGCCAAATAAGATGGAGCAACGGCATCAGCAGCGGTCGTTGGTACCGCGAGATGAACAGCAGCAGTAAAGGTAGGCAGGCAACAGCTGCAGCAAAAGCAATCATTATCATTTGTCACATTCTAGACTTTATCTGTACTGTCTCCAGAACCTCATCACTTTACAGACATCGATACCGTCTGCACGGCCTACCGCCGACGCCAACATGGCAGGCCATCATCAACAAGTGGTTGACCACCAGCTAAGGCCAACGAGCCAATACAGCCAGTCGTAGTTGTGTAATATTCAAGTCCTGGCTACTGCGATGCATCAACTTAGCCAATGACTGAGCGAGTTCGTAGCTTAGCGCTGTCATCGACGCACCACACGGCCATTAGGTACTTAAAGCTCGATTTACAAAATACATTGTATCCTGGTATCAGGCGCGCATGATGCCGCTACGAGTAACCTAGGTAGGAAGCGGCTAGCTGATCAACTGATTGGGCAATTGACCAGCCCGAGTTTGTCTAGGTAGATGCGTATTATAAAAGCGAGTGGAAGAGATGGAGCGCGAAATGCCGGGCTGGCCAAGCTGGACGGTTCTTGTTCTTCCTAGCGTACCACTTATCTATCTATATCTCTACATATATAAATTGGCAGTACGTTGTTAGCATTTCTGGCAGCTGCGTTGTAAGTCGTATTTTAATCGAGAGCAGGGCCCAGTGGTCATCTTCAAAGTATGCTTAGCTGGAAACGACAGACCGACTTTAGCCCGAAGATAATTTTGCATGACCCTCTAACTGTCACATTGCCAGGGCTGGTCTTCTTCTGGTAGCTGTGCCTGCATTAGTTGTCGTAGTCCAATATAACGGACGGCTCCGCTGACAGAGAGTCGTGTTTGTTATCTCAAGTCAATCCTATCGGTGGACTTTGCCGTCTATTCATCATCAATATCACGCACGACGAGAAAGGAAAGAAGTAATTTGGGCAGATAAAATTGTATCCGAAACCAATATAATATATTTTTAAAGAATTGGATAAGTAATAACCATCTATAACAGAAGAGTTAAAAAAAGAAAAAGTACATTTAAGTAATAACGGATATCTATAGCAAGTATGCAGTGCCACTAGAAGGTTGAACCCAGGTCTCGTATTGATCAATGCCCATATGGAAAATAGGCACATACAGCGTTCGACCGTCGCTACAACTGTTGCTGAAAATATCGGTGCGCATTCTGGTCAGTGCTCTTACCTTCTAATAAAAATCAGCCGCTCTTTTTTAGGAAAAATCGCAAATTAAACTAAGACTCGCATTAGCTTCTGTGGTGGAACCGCATTGACACCAACACTAATAGTTACCCTTTACTGAGCGTCCTAGCGTTTAGCTAGATGAAGATTTAAGATGAAAATACGTCAGTTTATTCCGCCGCTACAAAGTTTGTTTCGGGGTCGGTGAATCCTACCCTGGTAGAAGTTAGGACTAAACATTTCAACAAAATCTAATACACCCTGCGATCGTTCGTACCTCTTACATCGCTTTCTTTTATAAACGTTACCCGTTGTCTGCGTGTTGTGTTATTGAGAATGATTACTAAGCCAATCTGAATCTGACCTCGAAAATATTCATATCAATTTCTTATATAGACAAGGCAAATTATCCCGTAAACACTATTTTTTTCATGTAACGTTACCACGTAACGAGCAAGAGACGCCGTGCTTGACCAACGTTCGGGAAACGTATGACCACAAAGTAACAGTATGTTGTTTTCGGAATTGTTTAGTGGATCTATTTTTTTTTTCAACTAACTAAGACAAAAACAATTAATCGTCTATGAAAAGAGGACAGCGAAAGGCTGAACCATAGGGCAGTTTTCGCTGCCCCTGATGACGAGTTGCATTCCGCCAAATTTGCCACGGTGTCGCATTCACAACTAGCCACATCGCGCTAAAAGCACATCCTGTTAGAACAGATTAATGTGTCCGGGGCGATGGTCGAAAAGTCACTAAACAAATCTACCGTTCTTGTAAAATCGTATGTATTTCTCTTCCACTACGCCCTGTATACTTGTATACTTTAAATATAGTTAGCTAACAGTCGTCGTAGCAGGACAAATTACGTTCGGTTTTCTGAGAACATTCTTATTAAGCTTTTAATTTTTTGATGTTGTATCTAGCCAGATCTGAGTTCCATTTTACGTATAATTCAGACCTGGTCGTAGCTTCTCCAAAGGAACGGTTAAGCATATTTGGATCAGTATGGCGGCAATGTTCCCATTGTATTCCATTGTTATTGTTGATCGTGTGCTTTGTTCGCTTGTCCGTTCAGCGAAAACTCGTCTACGTCCTATCTAGTTGATGAGGTACCCTCCACGCATTGGCTATACCAATCCAAACATTTCTAGAGGCACCACTAGTGCATTAAGTCGTAGTAGTGTACACCTACAGATTTGAATTCGTAAGCTGTCGCCATGTATAATGAAACACTTGCTAAACTATACTAGCGATAATGCCCTGATCACTTTTCCCATTGCCCTATACGTACTCGGCATTGTATCCACAGAGTGCGCTACGAACGGGAAGTTACTTGGGCTTCATTCTCGTTCCGCTAGCCTAAATGCCATAAGCGAAATTTCGATGTGGGGGACATCCGAGCTTTTCGTTTCGCTTCAAATCTTTCACGGTTCCGGATGCTATTGCTGTTCTCTATTGTAATTCATTCTGCAAATAAAATACAGTAACGCTTCGGCCTGGAACAAGTACATTGATTAGAAACTATCAAGCTAATCGCAGTTGTGAGATAGGAGTTGGCCTTTGTTAACAGAAAATTCAGCCAAATATGTTCAGGATGCGAGAGGGAACGACACAAGACCGCGAGGAAGGTAAAATTTTCTACCGATCACAGATGTATCTATATTAACCAGATGTCTGCTGTTGTTGTTCACCCGTCATAACCCGCCTACGCTTCGTCGGTGAAACGGGCTGAGCCTACCCAACACTTGTTGCCCAAGCTTCCTTTAACAGTCGAAGTGTTCTTGGGTCGGTCTGTTCATCTTATTCTCCCATTTCGTAGCCTCGGGGCCCATGAGCGACGCACAATCCCACAGCAATGGATGGCCTCTATTACTCGAAGATTTGCTCACTCTATCGTCGCATGTCTGTTTTTCTTTCGTAAGCTTTCTCTTCCTTTAATTCCACGGTCCCTTGTTCCCGTCGATAGCAGCGACTGACTAATTTTTAGAATAAACAGAATCGAACATGACCGAGCCATGCGGCAGCGCAGAATGTGGCGATAACGCTGCAGGATCGAAATTGCAGGACGCGGTCATACGTATGAAATTAAAGAAAGATTCGTCGTTTAAAAATCTTCTAAGTAAGCTTTTGCGCTCAAGCTTAGATGCCCAGTACTGTGCCCAATATAATTTATGATGGACGTAAATCCAGGTCTATGCCTTCTCGAGTGTGCCGTGTTATTAGAAATTATGGAAGTTTGTACCCTTTTTCGGAAGCGTCTCCTAAAAATCATCAGCGATTGTTACCGATGTCTGTTTTATTGTCACCCTTCTTCTGTACCTGGACATTGGTGCAATACAAACAAATCCACTGATTCCACGTTGGTTTCATTGGTCGCGTGTAGCCATTACCATGCAGAGTGTGGATTTATTGCATCGTAGCCTGTGGCTAGCCACAAACAGACTTACGCTTAGCGGAGCCAAACGTCAATCATTCTGCTTAACAGTTCGTCACACTGTTATTCATACCGGCTAATCGTCAATTTGACGAATATCTCATGAGTGTCGTC